TAGACTCTTCAGAGAAACCAAGGAGGATCTGTGTCGATATTTCCTGGAAAAGGATGGAAAAGGAACATCCCCCAAAAAACGGTTTGGGAAGGTTGTGTTTGTAGTGAAGTGGTAATCATTCTGGATGAATTGGGATCGAATCATTCACGAACCTCAAATAAGGTGGGGATGATTCCCATTTCTAAGAAATATATAGAATTCTCTCGTGACGTTGTGGTAATGTCGTTACAATTCAAGCAGAATCATCAATGTGAATCACTCGGTTCGGCGGCAAGTCACACAGCCCGTCGCCCAGGAAACAACGTCGATTTCGGCGGCGGTATATATGTATATATTTCATTCTCATCCTCAAGCTTATTGTGGAACCAAATAATGTCCCACAACGCGATTCTCTAGTGCGTCAACCCACCGGAAAAGAATTCAGTCCTTTTGGATCATTCTTCGCAAATACAGGCAATATTTTTGGAACATCTAAAGCCACCAGCCAGATCCAACCAAGCAAAAACGGATGATACGCCAGTTGACGATTTTGATGGGGAAAGTCTCGATCAGAGACGCAGATGCAAGCAAGAAACTGTGTTTTGAATATCATGCACCACATTGCCGCTGACCTTGAGGCTCCAGGGTTTTGGTCATTTTTTTTTTGTGGTTGGATATTTCATGATATTGCTCAACCATATCCTGCCTCTGAGAGTTTGCAAAGTAGTTTCTTTGCTGATTTGTCAGCAAATATTCAGTATATACTTTTACATATTCGGCCTGTATACATATACATACGTATACATATGTGTTTACATAGCTATACATACACATACATACATTTGCATACATATACATTCTTTCATTCATTCATTCATTCATTCTTTGATTCATTCATCCATGCATTAATTCCTTTCCTTCATTCCATTCATTCTTCATTCATTATATTCCTTCATTCCTTCTTTCATTCCTTTCATTCATTACTTTCATTTCATTCATTCATTCCTTCATTCATTCATTTCATTTCATTTCATTTCATTCCATTCCATTTCATTCATTCATTCATTCATTCATTCATCCATCCATCCATTCATTCTTTGTCTTTGATTCATCCATTCATTCATTCATTCATTTCATTCAATTCATTTCATTCATTTCATTCATTCATTCATTCAATTCATTCATTCATTTCATTCATTTCATTCATTCATTCATTTCATTCATTCATTCATTCATTCATTTCATTCATTCATTCCTTCCATCCATTCCTTCATTCATTCATTCATTCATTTCATTCATTCATTCATTCATTTCATTCATTCATTCATTCATTTCATTCATTCATTTCATTCATTCATTTCATTCATTCATTCATTCATTTATTCATTCATTCATTCATTCATTCATTCATTCAAGCATTCATTCATTCATTCATTCATCCATCCATGCATGCATCCATGCATTCATTCATGCATTCATTCATTCATTCCATTCATTCCATTCATTCCATTCATTTCATTCATTCCATTCATTTCATTCATTTCATTCATCCATCCATCCATTCATCCATCCATCCATTCATTCATTCTTTCTTTCATTTCATTCTTTCTTTCATTCTTTCATTCTTTCATTCATTCATTCATTCATTTCATTCATTTCATTCATTCATTTCATTCATTCATTTCATTCATTTCATTCATTTCATTCATTTCATTCATTCATTTCATTCATTCATTTCATTCATTCATTTCATTCATTCATTTCATTCATTCATTTCATTCATTTCATTCATTTCATTCATCCATCCATTCATCCATCCATCCATCCATCCATTCATTCATTTCATTCATTTCATTCATTCATTTCATTCATTTCATTCATTCATTTCATTCATTCATTCATTTCATTTCATTTCATTTCATTTCATTTCATTCATTCATTTCATTCATTCATTTCTTTCTTTCATTCATTTCATTTCATTTCATATCATTTCATTTCATTTCATTTCATTTCATTCATTTCATTTCATTTCATTTCGTTTCATTTCATTTCATTTCATTTCATTTCATTCATTCATTTCATTCATTTCATTCATTTCATGTCATTCAATACATTCATTCAATACATTCATTCATTTCATTCATTCATTTCATTCATTCATTCATTCATTCATTTCATTCATTTCATTCCATTCATTCATTCATTCATCCATTCCGTTCCATTCCATTCCATTTCATTCATTCATTCATTCATTCATCCATCCATTCATCCATCCATCCATCCATCCATTCATTCATTCATTCATTTCATTCATTCATTCATTCATTTCATTTCATTTCATTTCATTTCATTCATTCATTCATTCATTCATTTCATTATTTCATTTCATTTCATTTCATTCCATTCCATTCCATTCCATTCATTCATTCATTTCATTCATTCATTTCATTTCATTTCATTCATTCATTCATTCATTCATTTCATTCATTCATTTCATTTCATTTCATTTCATTTTCATTCATTTTCATTCCATTCATTTCATTCATTTCATTTCATTCCCTTCCCTTGCCTTGCCTTCCCTTCCCTTCATTCATTCATTCATTTATTCATTCATTCATTAATTCATTCATTCATTCATTTCATTCATTCATTCATTCATCCATTTCATTCATTTCATTCATTCCAATCATTCCAGTCATTTCATTCATTTCATTCATTTGATTCATTCATTTCATTCACTTCATTCATTCATTCATTTATTCATTTTGTTCATTCATTTTGTTCATTCATTCATTCATTCATTCATTCATTTTGTTCATTCATTCATTCATTCATTCATTCATTTCATTCATTTCATTCATTCATTCATCCATTCATTCATTCATTCATTCATTCATTCATTTCATTCATTCATTCATTCATTCATTCCATTCATTCCTTCATTCATTCCTTCATTCATTCCTTCATTCATTCATTCATTTCAGTCATTCATTCATTCATTTCAGCACATTTCAGCACATTCCATTACATTCCATTACATTCCACTACATTCCATTACATTCCATTACATTCCATTACATTCCATTACATTCCATTACATTCCATTACATTCCACTACATTCCACTAGATTCCATTACGTTTGATGGCATTCCACTACATTCCATTACATTCGATGACATTCCATTGCATTCCGTGATACTCAATGACATTCATTACATACATTTACATACATTGATGCATTACATACATTGATGCATTACATACATTACATATATACCATAGTAAATAACATAATAACATACATTACATGCTTTACATGCATTACATGCATTGCAGGCATTGCATGCATTGCATGCATTACATGCATGACATGCATTACATGCATTGCATGCATTACATGCATCACATTTCCTTACCTTTTCTTACATTCCGTTACATTAGCATACATACATACATGTATACATACGCACATACATAACGACATTACATTACATTCCATTCAATTCATTTCATCCATAAATTACATATGCAACATACGAAACATACGTACATACAAATCTAAATGTATATGCATATATATGTATATATATGTATATATATATATACATATACGTATATATATATACATATACATAAATATATGTATGTAAATACATACATACATGCATATATATATATACATACATACATATTTATAAATATATATATATGTATATATATATGTATATGTATGTATATATATATGTAATATATATATGTACATATATACATATTAGGTATATATATATATATGAACATATATGTTATGTACATGTATAAGTCTATATATATATATATTTGTATTTATATATATATATGTATCTTTGTGTAAATATATATATGTATCTTTGTGTAAATATATATATGTATGTATAAGTATAAGTATAAGTATAATTATTAGTACTAGTATTAGAATAAGTATTAGTATTAGTATTAGTATAGTATTAGTATAGTATTAGTATAGTATTAGTATAGTATTAGTATTAGTTTTAGTATTAGTAATAGTGTCAGTATTACTATTGGTATTAGCATTAGTATTGTATATATGTATAGTGTATACACATGTATATATATATATGTATATATATATATGTATATATATGTATATGTATATAAATATATGTGTATATATATATGTATATTTATATGTATATATATATATATGTATATGTATATATATATATATGTGTATATATATGTATATATATATATGTATATATGTTTCTTGAAGTATGCTACGCAGTAACTCGCAAAGACCGCGTCATTGGGGTCGAAAGATTACCTTCCAACCTAAACATGGGTGATCCTTGGGGTCTTGCTGCCATTGAACTGTTCCATCGCCTGAGGTACCAACAGCGTCAATCCAACTTGCCTCAGCGATTCAGATCCTGCTGGACTTGCTGGCAACTACTGACCCACTGAGATTTTCACCAAAACATGGGAACAATGTAGGTATGCCACTAATCAACGGATTGGTTGAAGGGAAATTCACAGGACACCATGGCTTTGTAACATTTCCATTCAACCACTTCATCTGCAAAACTACCAGCAAAATTTGCAGCAGCCCATGGAATCCCTTCCCTCCAATATCAACTACCCTCCTAGAAACCTTGGTTTAGCATTGGATTTTGAAACATCTATTCATTTTGTTTTTCTTTTGGGGTCCCTGTAAACTTGTGCATGTGAATCAACATAACATTTGTTGTATGGAAAAGGGTTGGCTGTTGTTCGATCTGCACACTTGATGGTCAAATACTGTCAAATACACATCTGGGTAAATGATGCTAACCATATATAACAATATATAACAATATATAACAATCTATAACAATATATAACAATATAAAACAAATATAAAATAATATATAATCATTATCGTTGCAACAAATTTTTTAAAAGTGAGGTTGTTGCGAGGTAACATTCCAAAATCCTCTGGAAACATCAACCATTTTCCAAAAAACAGTTTCCGGCGCCGGGACGCCTAAAGTGCTGCTGCGCACACCTCATACACAAGCCTCACCAGGGCGAGAACGAGCGTGGATAGCATGGGATCCTGTGTCCTCAATCTTGGCACGGGGCCGCCGAACTGAGTGGCTTTGCTGGACACAATTCGAGATTTATCTGGTAGTTTCATCATGCTTTATCTGGTTGGTGATTTCAAGCCATTACCAAAATATGATGAGGACACTTGGACCATCATCCCATCTTTATCCATTTTTGGTGACCAAAGGTAAACATCGAAAAAAACAACTCCAGTAATTTAATGACTATTGCATTACCACAAGTGATGCCCCAAGATATTTTTCGATATCAGATTGGTGTCATCGCCGACATCTGGCGATCACAACCATTGCCAGTCGCCAGTTCCACTGGCCTTAGAATGCCAAGTAATCATGCGTGTTACCCAGCCAACCACTCAGATGTGCATCCTGGTTCGGAAGTGGTGAACAATAAGCCACACATGAACATAGCGGTGTATGTGTAGCTGGGGTTTACCTCATCGGATCATGAGCTATTGCTTATGAGCCACCAATAATAACCTAGATCATCCCCAGCCTCCTCCTGCGCCGACTCGGCCTGCAGCCAGTGGCTGGAAGCTTCTCGAACTTGTTTTTTTTGCACATTGACCAGTGCACTATCTGGTTCTGGCTGAAACAACGTAACTCACAAACCTCAAAGCCTCACAAGAAAAGAAAATCCTGTGGATTTGGTCACCGAACACGGGGATTTCATCAATTGGTATTTGACCAACAAAAAGCCGGCCATCACCCACAACCTCGGGAACCCGCAAGACATGTGTTTAACCTATACATACCCATACAAGTGGGCAGTAGAGCCTCACAAATTGGCATTAAAACATACTGAATCAATAATAGTGTGGATTTTAGCTCCAAATGTAGGGAATTCGGTCTATATATATATAATTAATTTAATATATATATAATATACATATATACATAGTCAAACCACACTCAGCAGGTATTGGGTAAATTCAAAATATATTCAACACCCAATGATCGACAAATAGACTGGCCGTCTGAGCCATGGTGAGCATCCAAAAACCCGGCCTTGCAAGTGCCACAGCAAAAGAAGGTGTACCTGCGAGGCAAGTCTCAAGTCTGTTCCGTGGTACTGTAAATGATTTTTGTGATGAAAAAACCCAAGGTTTCCGTGCCCAGCAACGGCATGTTCCCAACCTCCACCGAGAGAAATCGATGCAGCCGAGACGGCGGTATTGCCATGGTCCGCGTTGATGGGAACCAAGGCTGGGCCTCCTGCGAACCAGCCTGAGGACACCCAAAAAAACCCTCACAAGATGGAGCTTGTTGGATCCCGAAATAGGGGGTTGAATAGAAAAGACTATGTACTGCATATATATATATACATATACATATATACATATACATATATATATATACACATACACACACATATATATATATATATGTATATATATATATGTATGTGTACATATATATATATGTATGTATATATAAATATGTATAATATATATGTATTTAACATATATATATGTATATTTAACATATATATATATATATATTATATCGGGAGAACGTGTTTGGTCGCCCCAATGCTTTTGCTGATTAGAATGCGCTCAGTGTGTATACAGTTGAACACAAACGTTATTAAGGGGCTTGTGAAACGTGCACAACTTCTGTGACACGTGCACAACTTCTGTGAAACGGCACAACTGCTGGGAAACGTGCACAGCATCTCTGAAACATGCACATATAGAATACTTGAAAACACTGGTTGGGGGTGGTGAAACACGTTATACCCATATATGTACATGTGTGTATGTGTATATATATATGATTATACATGTCTGTTTGAATAAATTTGTGTGTATGTATAGTTACATGGCAATATTTCGATTGGGGAAACTGATGATACACATTGTTCAACCTTATTTCAGACAGATCGAGATTGGTGTCGCTGGAATGTCGGAAACCAACAGCTTGAAGGGTTCACATAGAAACTATGTCTGCTTCTCACAGGTCCTACCTGTTGAAGAACCACGGTTGCCCTCACAACCAACAGCCATGGATTCTTCGGTCAGTCGCTACTTCTCATGCAACACTCATCAGATAACTTGCGTTAGGCCGAGAGCCACCTGGCTTGGACGCTTGTCAGCAGCAATATCAACACACCCAGTCTGTTGACAGGAAATTCGCGACAAAGTGAAAGAGTAGAGGTTTAGAAAGGAAGGCCTGGGCATACAGAAGTATCCCAGTCCATCGTGTGATGTATTTGGAGTACCATTGGCGAAACCAATGGCTTTGGGACAACACAGCCACATGACCTCCTCCACGAACCCACTGCCCTTGCTAAGGCACAACCAATCGGAGAAGACGGTCCATCATACCAGGCTGCCACTAGGCCATGACGAGCCATCACCAAACGCGCTGGACAGGCACCCTGAGACGGAGGGGTCCCTTGTCTCCAGTTTAGCTGGGTGT